CCCCCTGCCCCCGTAACCCCCTCCCCTCCCCCGGAGGCAGCGCTGACCGGACAATGGCCGCTCCGCCCCCTCCCCTCCAGACGCACCCCTCCCAAGGAGTCACAATGGTCTCGCCCGGGGGAGCCGCCGCCAAAGCCCAGCAGCTGATCAGCTGGGATCCGGGCGTGCCACTTTGTTCAGCGCCTCAAAGGCAGAGTCCGCGGCCGGGAGCGAAGCCGACAACGTCGGCCTGTCGCTTTGCGACGGGCTTCTCAAGCCTTCGTTTGCTCACAACTTTTCAAACCTGAGGCAAACTCACATGCCCCCGTCTGAGGAAGCAGAGCAGGGTTCCGAGTAGGTGGGGGCGCGTTGCCTCCCCCCACGCGTGAATGGTACGCCCCGAGCGGGCGGGGAGGAGCGGATTGCTTGTTTAGGGTAAGTTGGCCCAGGCCCAGTCCCAGAGCGGTGGCGCATGCGCCCGGGGACCCTGCAGCCGGTGCGGGGAGGGGCCGCGAGGGAGCGTTTCCAAACCCGGAAGTGGGCTTCGCTCTTCCCGGCGCGGTCGGAGCCTCGGCTGCTGGGGGAGCTGCTGCTCTGGCTGCTGGGCGTTACTGGGGAGCCCTTGTCCCCAAACGGCCAACCTCCAGTCAATCTTTCTTCCCAGTTCCCCCACACCCAACGCACTCTTCCGCAGTTACACCCCGAGAACGGGTCTCCTCTTGGCAGTGATGTACGTCTGGGAAACCATCCCCCACCCCAGCAATGGCGGGGCGAAGTCTCAGTCACGTTCCTCCCCCCTTAGAACCTCAAGTTCACTCATGTGTCGGGTAGGAGAACCTCTTAAGTGCGGACAGGTCTGGGTTCGGAGGTGGGGCAGGAAGAGAGCGAAGGCCAAGTCGAAGTGACCAGAGAAGTTTGGATTCCTAAAAACTCTTCCTTTACCACTCCTTGTTCTTGATCCAGAGTCCATCCTGCGCTCCAGCCAGTCGTGAGTAGGAGCTGATTGTGGATGACTAATTTCAACACGGAGGAAACTTGCACCTGTCCTCTGGGACCTACCTCTGAGGCCCATAGGGTGAACTTCTAGAGAGGATTCCTGGCTCTTGGGAATAGCTGTCAAGTATCCTCCCAACCCAGCGGGGCTACTACCCTTTAATTCCTCAAAGAGTATTACCTAGATTCGTTTTATTACCAAGTGTTTTTTTTTTTTAATATGTCAGCTCCCACTTCTGTTTGTGCATTTTTTTTGTGGGTTTGTTAGCATTAATATTGTTTCTTTTCGCCTCTAAACTTTTTTAAATTTATTTGTTCTTAATTTTTTTGACTTCTAAATTTAGAAAGAGCAAGAACCATGTTTAACTTACTATCCTCCTAAAGATGCTATTCTTGAACACAGTTGCAAAAATCAAACTACTTAAAAGTCAGAACACCTCAAAAATGAATTCTGATTGTTCATGCATAGGATTTAGTTTCAATTTTGTGGGCTTTCACAAGCCTTCTAGAAGTATTTCTGTTAAAACTCAGAATGGATGGAGCTACACAGCACACCTTGCTCTCATTGGATTCATATTGCCTTTAAATCTTCACTTAAATTGACTATAAAGTTGCCACATACATAAGTGACTTACAGACTTTAAGTTAAACTGAGATTAGGTAAGACTCTTTGTTGGCATATGATTTTATTTTACATACAAAAAAGGAACTCCTAAAACCAAAAGAAAAGTTTAATATAGGAAGTAATTGTCATCTTTTGGGAGAGCAGTTGGCATAATGGCGATATCGCTGGACTCCCATGTAGTCATCCATGGTTCAAGTCCCAAACCTGGCTGCTTTAACTTATACTAGGCGCGTGTGCGTGCATACCCAAGATCCTGAGAGGAGAATGGAGCCTTGTGGGATGACCATCCCCATGGGAGGTGATGTCTCGCTTTCTGTCTGTCTCTTTTTGTCTTTCTGGTGAGCTGGACATGCCCTGTAGTAAAAACCTCTCCAAAAAAAAAAAAAAAAGAAGTAATTGTCATCTTTCAAACTGTTTGCCCACATATCTGCTTGCCAGTCACTCAATTCAAAAAGTATTTATTGAGTACCTGGTATGAATAAGCCACCTTCCAAGCCCTCTGGAGACCAAGAGGATTTATAAAATCTAACACTTAAAAGCAGGTACAGGGGCCAGCAGATGGCTTGGTGGTTAAGGGTGCTGGACTCCCACATGGCCAACTGTGGTTCAAGTCCCAGACCTAGCGGCTTTCTTTCTCTCTCTCACTCTGTCCCTCTCTTGTCAAATTGGGATAAATAAATGAATGAATAAATAAAAGAGTTAAAAAAAGTCTTAATCAAATTAAAAAAAAAAAAAAGGCAGGTACATATCCCTGCATATAAGAAGGCAGATAATTTGGCTCCAGCCTTCCTCTCAGGTTGCTTTTCCTGCACCCTGCAAATCATCCACTAGCTGCCATTCCTCAGATACTCTACATACTTAAATCTCCATTCCTTTGTCCCTCCTGTCTCCCTCTGCCCCAACTGCCCCTTCTTGCCCAGGACACCCTGCTGCTCCTTCAGAGGCTGGTTACCCCTTCAGTGCCTTCCAAATTCGGCCAAGGCAGAGTTGGTCTCTCTTTCCTCTGCACACATAATCTCAATTATAGAACGAGGAAGTTTACATATTTGTCTCTTCTCCCAATACTTGATTCCAAAAGCAGTGAGATTGGCGCAAACTCAATCCAAGTCACTGAGTGGAAGAACTAATCTGATAAAATCTTAGTCAGGGCCCTTTTATCTGTGAGTAACAAAAGCCCTCTTAAACATCCTTGTACAAAATAAAGTGGAATACCATATATATGCATATATATATATATATATATTTATATACATACACACACATGTATTATATATATATAAACTTGAAAAGTGAAAATAAAGTGAAATACCACATAAGTGTGTATATATATATATAATATAGTGTATTTATATAATTATATATATTTATAACACATAATTTAGAAAGAAATAATCTTATAGAACTGAAAGGCACAGGTAGCAAAAAGATCACATGAACTGAAATAGGATCTAAAACACCCACAAGAAACCAAATGTCTATGCCCTCAGTATCTCTTTTTCTCTCTAGTCATGCTTCTTCATCTCTGCTTTTCTACAGATCTGCTTCAGAGTCTGCAGACCTGCCTCCACTGCTGCTGTGAGTACACAGTCCAGGCTTACTTACCCTCATTCCAAGAACCAAGAGAGGCCAGCCTTTGGCATGGTTGTTAAGGTAGCTGTTTCTCACATGCCCAGCTGTGCAGTTTGAGTCCAAGCCCAGCAGCTTGAAAACATACCAGGCATACGTGTATGCATGCCCCAAATCCCGAAAACAGGAAAAAATGACTGTGGCTTATCTGTTCCCTGTGAAAGCGTGTTTTCTCACTGTCCTTCCCTCTGTCTCCCCAGGGAGCTCACATGCCCTCTAGCAAAATACAAATAAAAAGAACCAGCAGACTGATTAGTAGCTATGAATCCCAAATCCCAGGAGAAATAACCAGATTATTTCTGGTCTATTTTATGTCAGGTTATCTACTCTTGTCACAGTCACCTTTGGTCGATGGAGTAGCACATAATCAAGGCTCTTCATTTTGTAATACAAACATGGCTGCCAGAGGCCCAACCTTGTAGGCTGAAGTTCTCAAAGGTCACTTATATTCTTGTCAAAGATTTCAGAGGATCTCTGCCACAGACCAGAAAGGTATAAACTGAAGCCTGAAATTTGAAAACAACACTGGACATGTTCTAGAATTTTTCCAACAGAGTAACTTTTTAATCTATTCCAGGCCTAACTTTAAATGGCACTCTCAAAGAAGCTCTAACTGACCCCGGGGTCCCAATCAAAATTACATTCCCACATTATTATCTTACATGGGACCCTTTTCGTTTATAGCACCTATCACGGTTTAAAATTAAATACTTATGAGTCTCCTTTCCAAAGACCAGGCCTGCTTTACTCACCATGAGGTACACACCAGGGCACATTTTGTAGCCATTCATTAAACATTTGTTGAATGGATAGAAAGGTGTAATGACTTGTTGATCAACATGAGCCCCACATATGGATTAGCATCCTAATCAGACTATTATGGTAGATTGTCTCAGTCACCAGCCCACCTTCCCTAAATGACACGGAAACCATCGCTAGCTTTTTCATCATATTGAAGTCGTATGAAAGACCCTGTGTTCATCTGCTTCCTCTGCTGTTGTTCCTAGCCAAGGATCTGGAGAGCCGTTGATCCAGTTCCTGTAACATGCCCACTTAGTTGGCCGAAACCTCAGAGAGGACATAAAATTTCAGGGCATCATCAAATTAGGGGACCAAAGTGTGAGGGTAATTGACAGAAGTGCTTTTGTCATAATTGTCTTGACTATTTTCTAGCATGGATTACATTCCAGTCAAACCTGTGATGTGACTCATGGGAGTAGTTTGCAATCACCATTGGCCCAAAAGGAGCCATCTATGTGCTCAGTAGGGTCTACTAAAGGATAATATTAATGCTTCAGCAGTCAGATATCTTGAAGTAGCAACTGAGGTTGTACAGGAAAGAGCCTGGTGTGACTCAACGTCAGGACCTTAACGAGAACTGCTTTCTTGGTAAGGGTTCAAAAGACCCTACTTAGCCCTTAAGAAAACACAATCAAAAAGAAGGAGCTTGGGACCAGCAGTTAGCATAATGTCTGTGTCGCTGGACTCCCACATAGTCGACCACGATTCGAGTCCCAGACCTGGTGGCTTAAACTCACACGGGGCGCATGTGCGTACGTGCCCAAGATCCCGAGAGGAGAATGGAGGGGAAGGGATTACGACATGGCTATCCCCTCTCGGGGGTGATTTCTCACTTTCTGTCGCTCTGTCTCTCTCTGTCTATCTGGCGAGCACACACGCCCTATAGCACAAACCTCTCAAAAAAAGAAAAAGAAAAAAAGAAAAAAAAGAAGGAGCTTGGGACCAGCAGTTAGCATAATGTCTGTGTCGCTGGACTCCCACATAGTCGACCACGATTCGAGTCCCAGACCTGGTGGCTTAAACTCACACGGGGCGCATGTGCGTACGTGCCCAAGATCCCGAGAGGAGAATGGAGGGGAAGGGATTACGACATGGCTATCCCCTCTCGGGGGTGATTTCTCACTTTCTGTCGCTCTGTCTCTCTCTGTCTATCTGGCGAGCACACACGCCCTATAGCACAAACCTCTCAAAAAAAGAAAAAGAAAAAAAGAAAAAAAAAAAAAAAGAAAAAAAAAAAAAAAGAAAAAAAAAAAAAAAGAAAAAAAAAAAAAAAGAAAAAAAAAAAAAAAAGAAGGAGCTTGTAGAGATATGAGAGAAAGCAGATAATCCTCCATTCTGATTCTGATCCTTGCCCCCACAACTCTTGGTTCAAAGCCTTTCATTATTACAATTCACTCTCACTTAAATTAGCACCAATGTCCAAGTCAAACTCTAGTATAATCTATTTTTAAGAATTATTTAACTTTGGGACCAGCAGATGGTACAATGGCTATGTCTCTGGATTCCCATGTAGTCAGCCACAGTTCAAGTCCTGGAGCCGGTGGCTTAAACTCACGCTAGGTGCATGTGCGTGCGTGCCCAAGATCCTGAGAGGAGAATGGAGGAGTAAAGATTGCAGCGTGGCCATCCGCCCTGAGGGGTCATTTCTTGCTTTCTGTCTATCTGTCTCTTCCTGGCGAGCACATGCACTCTACAGTAAAACCTTCTCAAAAAAAAAAGAATTATTTAACTTTATTTATTTATTTTAATTTGACCAGAGAGGGACAGAGCAAGAAGGCGAAAGAGAGGGAAAATGAGAAAGCAAGCCGCCAGGTCCAGGACTTGAACCACAGTCAACCATGTGGGATTCCAACGCCCTTAACCACAACGCTACCTGCCAATCCCACATAATTTAAATTATAATTCTAATATCATTAAAATTTAATCCCAGATTTCAAACATAATCTCAACTCTAGTTCAATTGCCTTACCACTGAATTCTTTTTTCCCAGCACTTTTTCTTGTGACCCTGTATCCTGACCCACTCATAAGAACAGAGTACCTATAACATCCTGGACCCCTGGGGAGCATGGGAGCCAGTTTCAATAATCTGAAAAAAGAAAAGGGCCTTGACCTGCCGACAAAGAGAAAGTGGAGCATCTCTTCCCTGAATAGGAGGCAGAGACCCTACCATTTGCAGCACGATCTGTTCTAATGCAGGAGCTGCTGTCATGTTACCCTTGTAGACTTTGGATCGTGCAGCACAGTTAGCCTAGACAGACCTGGAACCCTTCTAAAAACTGATAGGGTGCTCGCTTCGGCAGCACATATACTAAAATTGGAACGATACAGAGAAGATTAGCATGACCTCTGCGCAAGGATGACATGCAAATTCGTGAAGCGTTCCATATTTTAAAAAAAAAAAACAAAACAAAACTGATAGGGTTGGGCCGGCAGGTGGCATGGTGGTTAAAAGAGCTGGATTCCCATATAGTCGACTACGGTTCGAGTCCTGGACCTGGTGGCTTGCCTTCTCTCTCTCTCTTTCTGTCCTGTTCTGGTCAAATTGAAATAAACAAATGGATAAATAGATAAATAAATATAAATAAAAATAATTATTAAAAGAAAAACTGTTAGGGTTAAACTGGATGAGTGGCTAGCAAACCATGTTCTCAGAAAGCAGGAATTGTGGTTTTAACTCTGTTTGGTTTGGTTTTGGTTTTCCACAGAAGGAAAACAAATTTTTTTAAAGTCACTGAACCTAACTCTCTCTCAGGTTCCTTTTGGCCCTTGAGTTTTCTGATGTGCAGTTGATTCTTTTCGAAACTTACGGTCCACTTGGCATGGATAAACTCTCAGAGCCAAGGGAAAAGAAGGGCAACCAAGCATACTGTCTCCATCCTTTCTCAGGAAACTAAAAATAAATTAAATAAAATGAAAAGTGTGATGGGGAGGACGGGAAGAGAGGAAAAAAGGCTGCCATTTCACGTCCTACATTCCTCGTGTCCACGAAGCAATTGCTGATTTCCCTGCTGCTCTCACCCATCTTGGTGTGAAATTTGATTTTAGTGACTTTTACATTCCTTTTCAAGAATGGAAATAATTGTTTTTCCCAGAAATACTTGACCTTTGTAGAGGAAAAGAAATTTCAAATAATGAGAAAGCGAAAGTCTTCCCTAATATCACCCCCACATTCCCCCAGGGATCCCCCCCGCTAACAGTGTAGTATATAGCTCTGCAGGTTTTTCATGTATGTATGGCCCTAGATATGGGCTCGTGAAGCACATAGTACATGATAGCTGATGTTTTTAACTTTGACATATGTCATGTACCTCTTCCATATCTCTGCACATAGCTTTACAGTATGGTCTTGCAGCTAAATGTGGTAGGGTTCTCCGTTGAAACAAAACCCAAAACAAAAGTGAATGTGTGTGTGTACGATTTATTGTGAGAAACTGACTCGTTATTATGGAGGCTGAGAAGACCTGATGGCTGCAGCCCAAGGCCTGAGAACCAGGAGAGCCCATGATGTAAGTTCTAGTTTGCATCCAAATGTGTTTCTCCAAGACCGAGGCAATGGCAGATGTGAGTCTGGTCAAGGTCCACTTCTGGTTCAGAGATGGCGCCTTCTTGCTGTGTCCACACATGGTAGAAGGGGCAAACAAACCAACTTGGCCCTGTTTTATAAAGGCACTAATCCCATTCATGAAGGCTCTGTTCTCATGGCCTAGTCTCCTTCTAAAAGGTTCTATTCTACCTCCTAATAGTACCCCAGGGGTTAGGATTTCACAATATAAATGAGGGGGCACATGAACATTTGGACCACAGCAAGTGTTAATCTCATCCAGAAATATCCTCTTTATCTCATGAACCATTCATTTATGTTTATTCATTCAACAGGCACTTAACCTGAGTACCTACTATATGCTGGGCACTGTTTTAGCCATTTGAATTGGGGTCTATTTTTATGTTACATGTGCCTTTTTATGTATTTTATCTACTTTTCTACAGATACATTTTGGTTTTCAGGTTTTGCTTAATATTTAAGGTAGTAGTATTAAGAATAGGGACTCACCCCATGGTCTGGTAGTTAAAGGAGCCAGATCCTTTCTCTCTCTGTCTATCTGGCGAGCACACACGCCCTATAGCAAAAACCTCTCCAAAAAAAGA